TTTACCTAAAAATTGTCAACCGGAAAATGCACTTTTAGACGCAGAAAAGTTTGGTATGGAAGACCTAAGATAGATCAAATAAGAACCTAAAATTCTTAAATTTTCTAAATTAAATAGAGTCTACTTTACTAAAAATTTTAGAATTTTTCGCTAAATATTTGGAAAGTTATGGAAGGAAATTCAAATAAAATATTATTTTTTGATTATAAATTAGAAAATACCAAAATAAAAAATTTTTAACTTTATATACAAGTTAATTAAAATTATTTAGTATATCCGTACAAAATTACACGTTTCTAAGTATTCTCTTGGCTAATGTTACAGGCGCGCAACTTCAATACCAACATCCTTTAGACTTTTATTCAGTTTATTCTTCTATGCTCAAATTTCTCCATTTTCTTCTTTCTTTTTTATTTTCCGGGAGAAATAAGTGAAAAAAAGAAAAAAAACGCCGAGGCCAATCTAGCCAATGTCATAAATTTATTTATGCTTTTATTTTTACTAAAAATGATCTAAGGATTGGAAAGGGGAGACTATGTAGCAAGCAGTAAATGACTGACACATCTGGACTGTGTTTTTAGATTTTTGCGGGCAAATTGTGACGGAAGGCAAGAAAAATCGGTTAAAAGTGACAGAAAAATAAAGGCAAAATAAATGGAAAGCGGCATTGATTTAAAGATTTTTTTGTTAGCTAAAATAAATAAATAAATAAATAAATAAATATAATTCTCTTGTTTTTGGCTAAATCAGCTGCGCAAATTAATTTTTAATAAAATAAATGAAATAAATATATATTTTTGGTTGTTGCGAGAAATGAAAATTTTTAATTGGCCAATAATAAAACGGTATATATATTTTGACAAATTATTATTTTTTTATTTTTGTGGATTGCCTTTAAATAAATATAAAATTGTTGTTAGCTAGGGTTGTCGGCTCAGAATCGAGCTGAAGAACCGAGGATTTTCGAAATTTTTATTCAGTTCGATTTTAGATATCGGGAATTCATAATTCGACATTCCTAACTTTATTAACTATTTACTACTGATGGGAATATACAGTATTATTTCTTATTTATCGGCATTCGTAGGTATACCGACCGATACAAAATTTCTATCACTATTTACATTTAATTTTATTCCGGTACACCTCAATTGAGTCCCGACTCAATTGAGTCCCGGACCCTATAACTTATGAAGGGATGGTCACTTTTTGTTATTCTTGGTACCATTGGATAGGGCATTAAATAGGCTACAATATACCAAAAAATCAAAATTCCTGACCGACTGGTAAAAAGGTTGTGATCGATAAAGTGCCGAAAAATCAGATTTTTTTGAAAAAGTTAGTTTTTAAATCATAACTTTTTTATCAATTGGTCAAAAATTCTGATTTTTTGATATGTTATAGAGCTTTTGATTCTCTATCAAATGATACCAAGAACATGAAAAAGTGATCGTTTCTTGCTAAGTTATAGGGCCGTTACTCAGTTGAGCCGGGACTCGGTTGAACTGCTCCGATTTTATTCATATTAAACACAGTATTTATTTTATTTCTGTTAAAGCCAATGTATTTTGACATTTAAATTTTTAATTAAAAACAACCTTTTTAAAAATATAAACTTTATGTATTCCTTTTTAATTTCTAATTTTTTTCCTGATTGACATTTAAAAATTTTTTTATTTAAAGTTTATTTTTTGCAAATTTTCTTTTCACAATTAAAAAGTTAGCGGGGTATTTTAAATTACTTGAATTGGTCAACTACAAAACTTCTTTCATTCTTTTCAATTTGTTCTGACCCGTAACAGACCCAAAAAGGGGTTTTTTCCTTCTTTTGTCTTCTGTAAAATCCCCGCAATTGCGCAAAACATTAAAAGAAATTTTCTTTTTTTTTTTTTACAAAAGTAAATTTAAAAAGGCTTCAAAACACACTTACTCTTTTTCATTTTCTTAAAATAAATAAATATATCGGGTCATTTATTTAAAATACCTATTCTATTATGCTTTTATTCATTCTTAATCATTTCTTTCATTGCCAAACGTTTCATTTTTTTATTTGATTCATTAAAAGGCGCGAAAATGTTAGTGACGGTTACTGCCAATTTATATGAGCTTTATATTTTATTTTAATTTATTTTTTAAGTCCTTCCCTCCCTAAAAAATTTATTTTTAAAATACAAACTTTTAAATTATTACTTAAATCTATCAATTTTTATGATAGGCACATTTTGTCCATTCCATTTTATTTCTTTCCCCTCTATAAGTTCAATGAGTTACTCTTGGTGTTAAGAGCAACAAGAAGTATAAAACTCCAAAATTGTTAGAAAAATACTTTAAATTTCAATAATTATACCGTTAAAATTTGAGAAATTTTAGGTAATATTATTTAGGATATTCCTTACTAATATTCATCTTATTAGATACTCATTTAACTAAATTTTAAGTACTTTACCTCTAACTAAACTTCCCATTTTACTTTTCTTACTTTCGTCTCCGCCTCTACTTTAATAAATAAAAAAATATTTTTTTATTTACAATTTTATTTTCCTCTCCCTTCTTCCATCAAAATCCCGCTTCTTCTACCATTTTTACCCAATCAAAGTGTTGGCAGACGCACGTCCAACATAGCAACGGTGTAACCAGTTATTTCGAGGGTTGTTGGAAGGCTGGCAACAAAAAGAGATATGAGGGGGGAGGGAGAGAATGTGAATAATAAAATAAAAGGAGAGAAGTATGAATGACGATGACAAAATTACTGTAAATGCTGTGAGGGGAACGGAAAAAGTGTTGGAAATTTTTTTAAATTAAAAAAAGTTTTTGTGGAGGCGTTAAAAAATTAAGGATTTATTTACTATTTATTTTGTTTTTTTCGAAGACTTTATTTAGGAAGTGGAACAAAAAAAAGTTTTCCAAATCAAGTCAATTTCTCTTTCCATCAAAATTATTTAAATTGTAATTGATGAGGAGATTTTAGTGGATGAGGAGAGTTTTGGACGAGGAGAGGTTATTTTGTGTTTGTGTCTTTTTAATTTAATTTTAAATCCTCTCTTCTTCACTCATTCAAAATATTTTTATTTTTTCAAAATTTGATGAGGAGATTACCTCCCATTCCCTCATTTACTAACCGAAAATACGTTGTATTAAATATAGCTAAAATATAGTCAAAACACACCTAAAATGTTGTAGTATTATACCAAATCCCCCCCCCCCCTTCCCTCAGCTCAACATTAATTAAGTGATTATTTATTTGGAAATGAAGAGTCGTGGAATAAGTCCCATTTTTTCTATAAAATTTTTTGTTTCGAATATTTTCTAAAATTTGTACAACTTCTAAATCCTTGGCTTTTTACAACCTTCATATTTATGGGTAATTCTGTTTTAGCGGCAATTCTTTTTTTTTCAACCATTTCAACAGTTTTTCTTTAAAATGCGCGAAAAATTGGGAAAAGCTGTAAATACTAGGAAATAGAAATTGTTTGAAGAAACAGCTGCCAAACCGGTAGTTGTAAAAAAGAACGGCAATTAGTTGTTGTTAGCCTTTTAATCTTGCCGTTCTTTTTTAGGTAAAATATTTGTTTAGTTTGTTTTGTTTGATTTTTCAACCCTAAAACCATTTAAGACTGTTCCTGAGGGTCATTTCCCTCAATTTAAAAATAAAAGATTATTTGCCGCATGTCAAAAAGAATTTTTTAAATAAATAATTCTCCCCTTAATTGGTATACACGAGAAATATTGTTAAAATTAATTTCCACATGCCTATATAATTAATCAAATAATCTTTCACTGTGGCTGATAATTTGATACAAATAATAAAAGAAGAGGTCAATTCTCAAGTTGAGTAGATTCTCACATACATTTTTTTAATAAGGGATTTGAACGTTTACAGGGAGATGGAGGTGTTCTCTCTCAGAATTTCAATTCCGTAACTCCTTGAATTTGTTCATATTTAAAATTTATTGTAATTTTTTTAAATTAATGATATGTATAGTATGTTTTTCACAAAAATAGTTTTATCTTTGTTAAATTTATTGTTAATCTTCATTTATTTTACTATTATTCTTCTTTTTTATCCAATCGATCATCTCGATCCTCCCGGCATTATTCCTTCCATTAATTCTCTCCTACTTTTTTTGCCACGACCCTTTACCCCAAATTGGCATGGACAACGCCAAACTGCGCAGGACGCTTACAAGGAAACGGACTGCTGCTGGGCCTTTTTGACAAAAATGGACAGTGAATGGATGTTGGGGGGTTATAATGGGCGGAGAAATAAATAAATATACAAGCCATCGACAAAAAATGGAAGGGAAGGATGAGAGCTTTTTAGGGTTTTAGTTTTAGTAGAAAGGAGAGATGAAGACACACACAACCATTGAATGAATGAATATTTTTCGTTGATATATTATTTTGCGTGCGCGGACTGTCGTCCCGTCCATAACCTCATCAACATATCAAACTATATATGGGGGACTGTTTTAGAGCTGTGAATGAGGAAAAGAATTTTTGGACAAGAAATGAATAAAACTGACAACGGGATGGAGAGAGGAAAACATTTACTCCCCCCATTCATTTACAACCCTCATTCAATTCCTCGGAAGAAGCTTCTTCTTCCATTCATTCATTATTCCCCTTTTTCTGACCAAATTTTGTATATTCTTCGATTTTTTATTGTAATTTTGCCTATTTTTTGTCTGTGTATTCAAGTTTGCCAAAACTTTATTTATAATATTTAAATTTTTTTAATTTTATTATGTATTTAATTTATATTCGAGATTGCTTAATTTACAGTTTTTTTTAAATTTTTTATATTTTCTGCTTAATAATAAGTACAAAAAATTCAAAATTTTAGTTTAGGACCAACCATCTTTAATAAGAAAAATTTAACTAAAAGCTGTATCTTAATAGAATTCTTTTCCGAGAATGAATTCTTCCAGATAAAAGAAGCCTTTGCTTAATAAATATTTCCATAGCTTATCAGAACATCAAAAATCCATTTTAAATTTTCATCTTTTATTTATTTTTTCACTTTTTCTTTCAATTTCCAGTATTGCCTAAATGCAACAACAACAACCAAATGGAACTTCAATACCCAACAACTTTCAACAAACAATTAATTCCATTACATACCCCCAATTACAACAACAGCAACCATTATATTTCGAAACAACAAATTCAACTTCAAATAATTCTGACAATTTTTATTCAATGCAACTTCAACCTTTTCAAACACAACAAATCCAAACTGGAGAGTTACTCGAAACAAAACAACAAAAAAGTTCTGCTGAACAATTTAATGTAAATAATGAAAATATAATTAAAGTAAGAGATTAAAACAAGTTTTAATTAAATTATAGAGAGTAGTAAAAACATCAGAATTTGAAATAAACATTTGTTTGTAAAAACCAGAACTTTAAATAAACATAAGAGGGAAAATCAGAATTTTAAATAAAGGCCTAGATAAAGATCGGAATTTTTAATGAACTAAGATTTTGTTTTAAAAGTGATTGTTTGGGGATTAGAAATATTTTTAATTATTCTATTTTCTTTAAAAGATTCTTTTATTTAAAAATTTTTGTTTTTATTATTTTCTTAAAGATTTTTAGAAAAGTAAAAAAATAGTAATTTTTTTGGAAAAATTTTTTTGAAGAAACTTCCGTTTTCATTTTTCCAAATTAATAATTAAAAAAATATTTTTGGCGGGCTAAAAAATTTACTTTTCTTTTTTGGATTAACTTGACCTTGGACAGTTATTTATAAGAAAATGTTTTAGGAAGAAAATTAAAAAAAGGGAAGCTATCTAGAATTTTATCGAGTGCGAATTTGAAAGGAGAAATTAATTTTATTAACTAGAAGAGTGTGAAAATATTTTTTTGTCCTTCAAATTTTAACTGGTAAAAGTATGAAACGGGTAATTATTATTTACTTTTTAAGGATTTTTGATTGTTTTTGGGAATTTATTTTTTTTCCAAAATATAATTTATTTATTAGTTTTTTCTCCTTTTCAGTTTTATTAAAAAATCAGAATTTTAATTAAACATTTTCAGTAAAAATCAGAATTTTGCTTTATAAACAAATATATATTTTATTTTAATTTGAAACGATCCTTTCTGTTTAAATAAATCTTAAAATGTATCCTCGATTACTTAAATAATTCGAGATTATAATCTTTAATATATACTTAAACTGTATTCTCAATCAAAAGACAAAAGAAAAACAGAATTAGGCACTTTTTGTTTACAAGGACTTAAATATTTGAACCAAAGATTGGGGGAGAGGAAGGGGGGGGGGGGAGTTGTAAGAGAGAGATTTTATCGTAAAAATATATTTATTTATTTTGGACAATTAATTTATATATTCCAAAAATTTTATTATTTTTTTAATAAAGAAAAAAGGCCCTGGACCAGGAAGACCACCAAAAATAAAAATTGACAATAATAAAAGGGAGGATGTTGCTAGTTGCAGTAATAATATGTATGAATATAATACGAGTATTCTAAAACCTGATCAAATGCAAATGCTTTCACTTGACGCTAAATCAGCGAATAATATTATGGCTGGAGGAACTACTTCACAAGTAATTATAAAATAATTATTAGAATTATCAGAATTTAGAATAAACATTTCGTAAAAACAGAATTTGAAATGAACATATTTCTAACTTAAATATTAGTTGTAAAAAATCAGAATTTTTAATGAACATTTTGCTTGGGATCAGAATCATAAAAACTTGAAATTTCAGAAATTTAAATAAAAATTTCTGAAAAAATCAAAATCTTTAATATTATTTTTATTTTCTAACAGCCAAACCTCTCAAGTGTTCAATTTCCATATGGAGACCCTACTGCATGTTTTGGTGTTCCATCATCTTTTGATATTTCATCAATGCCTCCTGACTACAATAATTTAGGTGTAACATGGGCTGGTCACCCATCTAGGTAATTTTAACAGAAAAATTTTTTTTTAATTTTAAATTTTTAGTTATAATCTTACATCAGCCCCAACTCCATCAATTTGTGGAGGTTTTGGTGATATTGACGGGTTATATGGAAATACTAGTGGTCTAATAGCTTTGCCTGGACAACTTCAATATGAATTAGATCCTATGTTGGCTAATGGTTATGGTGTTTGGCCAACTGCGAATGGATATTACTTGGTATCGAATATACTATTAATATTTTTGACTATTTTATTTTTAAGGGAAATGATCCTGGAAAATTATTAACAACAACGGATGGATCATTACAAGCAACTCAACCCCCTCCTCAACAATATTTAGGTGCTGCGAGTACAAGCAACAACTATACAGGAGGAGACAATGTTCAATCAACTGCAACAACATTTTATGGTGCGCCTCCTCCATTACAGGTAGCTTTGTTGGAGGGAAAGTTTCAGAATCTTTAATTCTGAAAATTTAAAACTTTAATAAATAAAACAAATTCTGAAATTTATAAAACATTAAAATGTTTGGTAAGCATCAGAGGTGTGTCAGAATTTCTGATTTCCGGCGTTTTTTCCTTCCGATTTTCGAAAAAAATTTTGATTTCCGAGTTCGACTTTTGAGTCATTTCCAATTTCCGACAGTTCCGATTTCCGACCCTTTGTCATTTTCAGCCCACCTCTGGTAAGCATTATCGACCAAACATACAAAACAAACAAAACATTACAACATAAAACTTTACAAACATTTTTTATTGTAAAATTAAACTTTATTAAAAACCTGTTTTTTTCTCTTTTTACGAGAATATATTTTCTGATTGGTCATAATTATCTTTCTTTTTTATTATTTTTTATATTACTCTAATCTTAATGCCATCCAAAAATTTTTTCTTTTTTTTTGGCATTTGCCGATGGCTCGCGACAATCTTTTCTTACAAAATTAGGCCGTAAATAATTATTTTTAAAAGGCAAATACCCCCAAACCGCGCGCAAAACTCTGCTCACCAATATTATAAAAATTGTGAAAGAAAAAAAGGGATTTAGGCGGCAAATTAAAGAAAAAATGTGGGAAAGAATTTCTTTACTTTTTTGGCGGCATTTTTTATATTTTAAGGATAAAACTAAAAAAAGTAATGTTTTTAAAACACGTTAGGGTTTTTGTATTTTTTAAAATAAAAATTTATTTAAATAAAAATTTAAACAAAAAATTAATTAAACAATTTATAGCCCCCTTCCTCGCTTGACCCAACTTCAGTTTTTCATACGGGCATTTCAACACTTCCCCCGCCGCCTTCTCTATTGGCTTCCGCTGATCAACTTTATGGTGATTTTAAAATTTTAAAATTATTTTAAAAATAATTTAAAGGCCTCCAAAACGGCCCAAATGGAGTATTTGGCAACTTGACTTCTTTCGACCCTCTGCCTTCCTCCAACAACCTTTTGTCTGTATCAAATACAAATACAGAAACATCCAATACCCCAGCAACTCTCTTAAATTTGGAACAATGTTCGTCTTCCAACGGGAATCAATTTACAATTAGACAACCAGAACAACAACAACAATTACTTTTTGTTGGTACTCCAAATGGTCAGATAATTGAAGAGAAATTAAATACAAATTCTGGTAAAAATTAAAAGAAAATAATCAGAATCTAGAAATCAGAATTTTTATTTTAAACATATTTTTTCCGCATATGTTTACAGAATTAAGATTTTTCCGAAATGTTTTTGAGAATGTTTATTTAAAATAAATATTCTGAGATTTTTTTATTTATGAGACATTCATTTAAAATTCTGATTCTCCCAATTTAATTAAAATTATTTAAATTAGTTTTAACTTCAACAACAATCCCAACAACTCTTTCCCTAATTTCTCCACCTCCCATTGTCGGCACAATTTCTTCAAAGCCATCTATGGGGAAAAAGCACAAAACAAAGAAAAATCTTCAAAATTCTAATATTTTATTATCTCGTCCAAGTACTTCTTTGGGGGGAGGGGGAGGAGGAGGGATGTTATCTTCAACAACACCTTTCCATCCAAAATTAGGAAGTGAAAGTCCTTTTAAAGAAAAATTAAAACAAAGAGATACTTCTTCATCAAATGGGCGAAAGTCTCGTTCACGTAGTTTATTAAAAGATTCAGATGATGATAAATCAGCAGAGGAAAGAGAAGTAGAACGTCGAAATGCTAATAATACAAGGGAAAGGTATTTAATGAAAAAATTGTTTTCCTTTTAATTCTTTAATTTTTCAGAATTCGAGTAAGAGATATAAATGCGGCATTTAAGGTTAAAAAAATATTTAAAAATATATTTAAATAAAATATTTTTCGATTTTGTAGGAATTAGCAAGGCTTTGTTGTAGTCACATGCCAAACTTGGAAGAAAGAAATTTAACTAAACTTAACACGGTAAAAAACAAAATTATTTTAATGTCTTTATAAAATACAAATTAAACTGACACCTTACCTTCTTTCCTAAAATTTTCCCATTTTAAATTATTGATAATTTTGCCTCATTCCGACTTGATCTTGACATTAACCTTTGTTTAACCGAAATTTTAACATTAGAAACCCTTCCATATTTACATATGTCATTAAGCCTCAATTAAATTTATGAGCAAAATACATATAGATAAATATTTTAAACACTATAATTTTTTTGTTTTATTTAAAATTCTGATTTTTCTTGAAAAATAATGTTAATAATTGCTAATTTTAGTTGTTGAAAGCTGTTGAGCTTATTCCAATGTTGGAGAAAATGGTTGATGAAAAAGTAATAATTATTTAAAAAATTTACAAATTAAATAAATTAATTTAAAGACACGAATGATGGATCCTCGTGGAGATTGTGTTAAACGAAGGATGGAAACAACAACAACAATTCCTGATTCTACTTCCTCTTCTTCCCTTTTATTAAATCCTTCCTCTAATGGAATTTTGAATTCTAATTTATTTAATACTTGTGGAGCTTCATCTGATTTATCTTCCTTAGCTTCCTCCTCTAATATTTTAAATCAACAACATTTTTTAAATTGAAAAGAAAAAGAGAAGGTTAATGAAAAAACTCTGTGCAATTATAATTTAAATAAATAAATATACATATTTAATTATTTCAAAAATTATTTTTATAAAAAAATATATTAACAAGTGTCTTAAATTAATCGGCAAAAACTAATTTTAAAAATTATAAGCATTTTACTTTACATTAAATATTCTTTTTTTTCTTTCTTAAAATGTGAATTTTTTAATTAAATAAAATTACATTTATATTTAAAAATAATTATCTAAAAAACAACTCAAAATCTTAATTTTTAATTAAGGATTTTTAAAAAAATTGCTAAAAATCTAAAGTTATATTGAGAGAGGGAGAGAAAATTTTATTTAATTATTTTTATAAAAATTATTTTAAAATATATATTTCCATTTTACAATATTTTTGTAATTAATTTTCCTTAATTAAATTCTAATGTTGTTAATGAATTTATTAAACTTCCTTTTCAATAAAAATTTTTTACTTAAATAAAATGTATTTTTATATAAATATAGTTTTTATAAAATATTTTTAAAATAAATTTTAAAATAATATTTTTTAAATTACTAAAATTAATTATAGGAATGACTTAAGGAATGAAAAATAATTTTTTTTTAAATTTTCATTATACTTTTTTTACTTAAAATATATTTGTTTTTTCCTAACTTAAGGAACGAAGTAGTATTGTAAAGCATATAGCTATTCATTTCCTAAGGCTGAGCAGTAGGCGGCGTGGTGTAATGGCTAACACATCAGTCCGGTCTACTGAAGATGCTGGTTCGCTCCCAGCCGCCGAATAACCTTTTGCACTAGCTAAAGGAGAGAAATAGCTATAGCCCAGCTGCTTTACTGTATCTTAACTTTGGGGTATCAATTAGATAACTCTTCCACTTATTAGCTTAACAAATTAAATTAAATTAAGGTATATCTTCTATTTGGGTCCAATTGAGTTCTAAAATTTAGATAAAATTCTCAGAAAATTCAGCACAATAAATTCGAAAAAATAAATCGGCTCATAAAATCATAGCAAAACAAACACAGCTACCTACATAACCTCTATTTTAGCTTTTAATTTTGCAGTTAAAAGCTAAAAGAAAATTATTCTATTTAAGAAACAAAAGATTTTCAATAAAAATAAAAACAAATTTTTTACTGGAATAATATTTTACAGACATACAAATTCAAAAATTTAGGAAATTCGATAAATTCAATAATTTTTTCTCTATTTAAAAATTTAATAAATTTTATTTAAAGCCGACAAGATTTATTTAAAAGTGCATACATAAAAAATTAGCCGACATGCCTCACAAGACTAATAAATTTTTAAAAGTGCAAGTTGTTGCGTAATTATTGCCATTAACGCTAATTTCGTTATACATATTTTTTAATAATTGTCTAGCATAATTTTTACTACAAAAAATAATTCATTTATTTATTTCAAAAATGAATTTAAAAATAAATATTTATTTATTTTTAATATTATTTACTAATTTAATTAATTCAAATGATGCTCGAAATAATCCAAATATTATTGTTGAATATATAGAAGAAAATAATAAACATATTAAAATTAATTTGATAAATATTGAATTTATTAAAGAGGTTTGTTTTTAATTAGTGTTGTTCAGAGTAGATAACGGAGGGCAAAAACTCGTTTATTTTTTCCTAAATAATTGCATTTTTATTTATGCTGCTAATTCTAGAAGTGGATCTTGACTTCAATATTTAAATTAAGTCAACCTCAGATTTTTAGAAAATATCTATGGAAATATAATGTACATGATATGGCCGAACCCGGTAAATTTTCAGTTGATGTCCTACAAAATCTCTAATAAAATTTCCAGTTTTATTAGAGACAGGACCTTATTTTGCAACAATATACAGGGGGATTAATTCTAAACCCGCCAACCTTAATATATACACCAAAAATTTTTAAATGAAACAGTCAAAATTTCACAATTTTAGGGGCTACTTTTAATTTTATTTAAGTCATTGTTTAAATTTTATATAATCCAAATAATTAATTTAAAGGGAATTTCTGAAGAATATAATCTTGGTAAGAAAGATTCGGTAGAAATTGAAATTGAAATTAATGGAATATTCAATGAATATGACTATATTTATTTATTAGAATCACCACCATATATTAATTACTTTCCTTCTACTAACAAAATTTATACAAAGAAAGATATTATTAATTTAAATAATAAAAAAATAATTTATTTAAAGGAAAAACTTGAAGATAGATATAGAAAAGGATTGGATATTTACTTGAACTTCATAAGAAATGGAGTAAAAATATAATTTTAAATTATTGTTAAGGAGCATCCTTAACTAAGGACTAATGTGCGCCCGGCACTAATTTTGTAGAAAAACACCGATCGGGACTTTAAATTTTTATTTATTTCCGAGTAAACTTAATTGGTTGGATTACTAGTAGGAATTGAAATAAACTTATATTAAATATCTTAATTTAGAAAAAATATATTTTTTTCAGCCAATTGTTAAAATTAGACCTATTTTTGATGGTTTAATTGAAATAAATATGAGAGATGAAAATGGAGATGATTTACTAAATTCAAATGTCGTTGCACAAATAATTCGTCCGCGAATCTCTCTTACAGTTATAGAAAGTATTATAAAATTAAATGGAATTGAAGCAAAATTAATGGAATATATAAGCAATTTTAATATTATTAAATTAACAAAATTTAATTTATTTTTAAATCAACAATGGAAAGACGACAAAATATACAAAAATATTTTTAATAATTTAAAATTAAAAGAAATTAATGGAAAAGGAGCAAAAAATCCTTTTTTGAAAATTTGTGTTAAATTTAATGAAATTGGGAAATATTTTATTTATATTTATGGAAGGAAATATTTTAATTATCAAACAAATTCAAAACATTTATTCCAAATTTTTGTGCAAATAGAGAAAACAGATAAAGAGAAATGTTTAAATAAATTTTTTGGAAGTATTTATGAAAGAAAAATATTAAAAGAAGAATTTGATAAATTTATTAATATTAAAATTGTTAAAACAAAAAATGAAAAATATAAAGATGGAGACATGATTATTGGTAATCGAATGGATAAATCTAAAATTATTACTCGTGTTTATATACAACCGATGTTTAAATTGAAAAATAAAGAATAGAAGAAATAAGAAAAATTTTGTATTGAAAGATAATTTAAAAAAAAAGAAATTTTCTAAACTAGAGACAGGACTGAGACGGGATTTCGATTCTCGTACGACACTCCCAGTCCGTCTTAAATTAAATTAGTGTCTGAATTTTAGTCAAAATTTTCCTTTATTATTGCAAATAATTTATTAATATTTTTTAATTAAGGAAGTAATAAAGTAATTTATTTGAAAAAATTAATAGAGTAAGGACTGTCTGAAAAAATTAATTCTAAATATTATAACAAGGTTGACATATCTTAACTTTAGGGTACCTCTCTCTTAATTTCTTTAGAGATATCAAATGATTAGTTGAAAGCTTGGTGGAATTTTTTGGCGTAATTCTTGCAGAAGAGTTTTAATTAAGTAAAATTTTAAAGCTAATATTTTATGATAAAATTATTCATATCCATATCAGCCTGTACCCGTAAGCATTAAAAAGGAATTGTCTAACCAAGTTAGTCTCAAGACATTTTCCTTTATTATTTAAAATAAAATATAACACTCAAATATTCTATAAAAATGCCAAATTTATTCAGATAAATTTTATGATACATATAATTTAGTTTAAAAGAATTTAGCAAAAATGTTTTGTTGTCCTCATTCCGTTTAATTAAATATTTAGGTAAATTCTTTCAAGCTTGAGTACAAAAAGAATTTTCTGAGTGTTTTCAATGTTTCCATTTTTTCAATCATTTCTAATTTCATTCCTCTAAATACTTTATTTTCATTACCAGCCACAACATCATATGTAGTCATTAGAGAATAGTTGTTTTAGTAAAGTAATGCATTGATTCAAAACAGTATTATGTTTATACATTATTCCAATCAAACTTTGTTCTTGTTCCTGAATATTCAAAACATTGAATTGAATGTCCTCATGATTTTTCTTTAGTTTAATTCAGTGAAATATTATTAGTAAAGTTAATAGTATTTCGCAGACTATTAAGCCGCATGCCGGCATTCAGCTTCATTTATTTTGAAATTACATACCAGGCTTTCAACGACGGTAGTTTTGAAGCTTGTTATATTTAATGAAAAGGGCATTTAAAGTTGAACTTTATTTATGTATTACATACATATTACATGACATAATCCTTTTATTATTAAATATCGACTTCAAAATACCTAAATATTCACATGAAGACATCAAAAAGAATCCTCGATTTCACATGCGTATTTTGTGAAATTATGTTTATGAAACATAAAGAATGTGCAATATCATTTCAAAACTTGTTTAAGTCTTCCCTTATTCAATAGCCGCTTAAAGTGCATTTTTTAATGGCCGGGCACTTTTTAAACAGGAAGGTGTAATCTCTTTGAAAGGGCAATCTTAAAGTTATAGTAAAATACAGGGCCAATTTCATTGAAACAAGTCTTATTTTTCCAGTCTAAAAGGACTACATATACTTCTCAATTAAATTCAACCAAAACAATAAATACAACGAATATTAGGTATATACCATATTACCATTAATTTCAAAAATTAAGTTTACAAACAATATCTTAACTAATTATACTTCACAATCTTGCTTTTTAATTTTCTTTTAATTTTTAAATGTTTATAATTACTCTTATTTTAGCAATACCAACAAATTTGAGTACCAAAAAATTTTTAACAAAAAATTTATACAATTTTCATTTCTTCCGAATTTTACAGAATACACTATATCACAAAATAAATCCAGCAGGGCTGTAAATAATTCTTTGCAGCCACCATCATTTACTTTAACAATTCGAAAGGATAACAAATTTTTGATTGAAAATCTTTCAGAAAATGAAATTAATGAAAATAATTTTAAATAAAATAAATGAGGGGAA